TTAACGTTTGGAGGATACAGAAGAAAAATTCTTGATCAAATCGAGGAGAAGGTGTCAAAGTCATGCGATGACAGTTTGGTGGTGTTAGAAGAGGATAAGGTGCGGGGGCAAGTAAGGATCTTCGCTCCTGCAAGATACACTGTCAAAGCTCTGTCTATGATGGGGAGTATCTTGGAGGAAAACAGAAAAGTACTTCGGAGTGAGCAAAAAGAAGAGCAGCTGAGGGAGGGGTCCCCTGGGAGTAGAATTGTTTTGGGACAAGGCGGTGACATACAGGAAGTACTGATGCCAGACATGTACAGGGCTGTCACGGTTGGTGGGATTGAAGATGGCCACGCCGTGGCAGTTTTAGATCATCTAAAAACTTTTGGTGACATAGTGAAACATAGTTTCAAGGAACAGAACGGCAAGATGCGAGTTTTTGTAACTTATAAGGATTCACAGGATGCACTAATGGCAGTGAAGAGCCCTTCCAACACCCCTCCAGATATCAACATAAAAGTGCAGCCCAGTCACTCGACAGGCGATGGTAACCAAACACGTTTTTCTCAGTTCAAGGTGAAAGTCAAGTGGCTCCGACGTCCAAGCAAAGGCACAGGATCAGTACAATTCCTTAATGATGAAGACTTCTTTCACACCCTCGGACGTATATCCTCTCTGTTTATCAAGTCCAAAAGAGTGACATTTCAAGCAGACAAGATTCGCGAAAATCAGATATTCATAAGAGGACTCCACCCTGAAACATCAGAGAAGGATGTAACGTCTGCTATCGAAAAAGAACTTCCCTCAGTAAAAGTGATGAAAGTTTTCATCCATCGAATAGCAGAGTTTGAAACAAGTGATGAAACTCTTGTAGCACAGAAAACTTCCCTGGAAGAATGTCTCACCAATTTTGCCACACAAGGTAATTTCACAGTCTACGTGGGAAAACCTTCCACTAAACATTCTGAGGGATACGCCAACCTGACGTTCCAAAAAGCCGAGGAAGGTCAAGCCGCCATAAGAGGTCTTAATGGAATGAACATCCCAGACATCGGTGTAGTAACCTTGCATCCCAACCTTTCAACAGTGTTGTTATGTGCCAGAAATGTTTACGGAGTCATTGAAGATAAGCTCAATGAAACTGTCACCAAATTAAGGTCAACCTTGCAAACAAATTTGAACGTTAATGTCAAAAAGAAACCTACAGATAAGCGTGTTTGGATAGAAATTCAAAGTAACTCTACGGAACACTTCAAATGTGCAACCACTGTTCTCACCGAAATTGTCAATGGTGATAAAATCGACTGCAAGATTTCTAAAGACCTGGAGATTCTTTTGACAAAGTCAGCGAAAGACGTTCTTCAAACGATTCAGAAAGACACAGGAACTGTAATCAGTCAAGATTGGAAGAACCAAGCTGTCAGAATTCATGGATCCGAAGCCAACCGAGAATTAGCAAAACGAGCGATAAACAAGTTTCTTGATGATTCCATCACTGATAATAGCCACTCATGGCAGATTCAACTTCGAGGACCAAACAAGCCTCGGGGATTGCTGAAAGCTCTGTATAAACGGTTTGGAGCCAATCTGCAAGGACTACGAGATATAAGTGGTGTCCAGAAGATCCATATAGAATTTAGAAACCACGTACTTAAGATAGAGAGTTCAGATGAAGNTTGGTCAACACTTTTCTTAACTTGTTAAGAAATTCAAGTTAAGGTTCGCCTTTTATCATCACTACTTTTTGCTGGATTACTAGTCAAGAAGAATGTCTAGTCAGCGGTTTGTGCAAAAAATCCATGTTAACTGTAGTTCAGAAACGAATGACGAGCTGTTTGCTGAATAAGTTGCATTTATGTATAGCAATAGTTCTGTCGCAGAGTGCAATGATAGTATCTGGTGTGTTGATAATGCGAGTTCGTTAGTCCCCTTAAATGTAACTGCTTCCGCTACAGCTGAATGTTACCACTTCCGAGAGAAGCTGCGAAATATTTTCTGGTTAGATTGACACCTCCGTGATTTGTGCTTTCTAGATACAAAATTATATAAGACCCTGTGTAATCGAGATCGTTTCTGAAATAGAAGACAAGTTTAGACTGTAATTCTGGATAAAGAAAGTAACGTTGGTAAGCAACAACTTATTTTGTGATTATGTTTCGTAGTTGTGATTCAAAGCGAAACCAATCGCTAGTCTTTTCCTCTATGTTTGGCTCTTTTACTTGTCACGTGCTCGTTTCTAAAATTGAGAGTATTCTCTAAGAAATGATCGCACAATAAGGAAAAGGGGTATTAAGGAATAAAGAAAGATCTTGCATTGGGTTGGTGTCTATCGCATCCGCGTGTATCAACCCGTGAATCGAGATTCAACTCTAGCTTGAAAATAAACATTTGAACACCTGAAAGTCAAAGCTTTTAAAGTTAAATAGAAATTACTGATTTCTCAAATAGTTTGAAATTCGGCCACATAGCCACATAGTCTGTCTCTTTGATTAAGTCGTCATAGCGTTGAATTAATAGTAGCTTTGTACTGTAAATTGTGTTTGTCAACGTTTACATCGTAGAAAAAAAAATTCGTCAAAAGACGGAAGGTGATAAAATATATTAATAAATTGATAAAGTTTGCGCTCTTTGAACCTTAAATAATTCTTTGATTTCTAGCAGAAATTTCCCGAATTGTTTTATCTCTGTTTGTCGTTGCCTAAACAAGAAAACCGGCAACCAGGTATCACTTATGGGAGTTTTCATCCCGATTCTGAGAACTTCCTTCAGCATTTTCCATATCAAAGGGTAACGTGTTTTTAAATTTCCTGACACTGGTTTCATTGACTTTTCATGTTGGTCCCAAATTCCATTTTCCTCACTCCTTGGGTTTACAAGTTGAAAAAATTTTGTTGAGCTTGAAAAGTCCACGATATAGATAAGTTCTGCTACTAAAGCTTCAGGTGTTATAAATTCTGAGATTTGGAGCCTGGTGCAAAGCCTCTTTGAAGAAAAATTTTCTGTTTCCATTGGCTTCAACATAAGAA